ACTAAAAAGATGTTACTTAAGTTCTTAATCTATCGTACATATGAGCAAATATTCTTTAACTACTGGTTTTAATTGAATGAAAATTTTTGGTTAAATTATGCTATCAGTTCTTGTATTCCATCAAAATTTGAGATTTAATCCTTATAATGTAATTCATTTATATATAATGCTCGTACTATTTTTATTTGATAAATTTAATTCAATCATAAACTTTTTTAAATTTTTATTGTTAAAAATGTTGACGTAGTTATTGATTTTACTTATATCACATTTTAATTTATTAAAATTATAATCAATGATGATATGAATTAAATGATATAATTTAATCTAGTGAGATTATAACATTTATTTCATCTTTAAAAAAAATCATTAATAACTAAAATCTAATTTATTCATAATTAGAACTGAAAAAGAAATCAAGAAAAAAAAAAAGAATTAAGTCCCCTAAATCCCCAAATCATAAATCCCGAAAACTACACCACCAGCATCTCTATCATGCATATTTATGACGTCAACTATTATGGTTCAATTGTGCCTAAGAATTTGTCGTTTGAGGTTTGTGATAAAACGACGAAGAGTAGAATCGACGGTAGTTTGGCAAATTTTGCTAAAATAAAGGTTTCGGTGAATTTAGCGATGATATGATTAATCAAGTGTGACAAGGGGGTCCCTACAAGGTCTTAGCTTGTTAAAACACAACTTTGCTACTGCTAATTTGCAGTCAAAAGAAACCTTGATTTGAACAGTGGACAGAGTAGTAGTTTTGTTTAGGAAGAAAAATGTGAGCTTTCCTTTTAACAATATAATTTTTTTTGGAGATTTTTTAAAAGAGAAAATGTCTTTTTAGAATTGTTGACTTGGGGAGTTGATTGTTAAAATTAGAAAAGAAAAAGAAACAAAAAATCAAATTCTTTATTTTCTAATTTGAGTTTTTGTGAATTTATTAAATTTAAATGTGACAAATTTTGTTGATGACAGATTCATAGGCTACTGAATGTTGTGAGTTGGGGAATTTTGTTTTCGCTTAGAGCAATGATTGCGCAACACATAAGAACCTTCGGGTCTAAAGATCCAGCTTGGTTTTCTTCACGTGTTTTATCAAATATTTGTTGAAAATAATGACTCAAATCCTATAATAAATTTATTTGAGATTTACTAGATATTACTTAATGAATAAAAAGAATTGCAAAAGAAAAATTTTAAGAGAAAATTGATTCTTAATAAGCAAATTTGACTTGCAGAAAAAGAATTCTAATTTAAAGTGAATTCTTAATAGATAAGTTTGTATACTTATAAATAGGTAAAGTCTCTATAGGGTTATGTATAAGAAAAAATGTAAGAAAATTATAGGATTTTATAAGATAAACACCCTATAAGATTACAGGAGATTAACGTTCTTATAGGTATGTATGTTTAAGTAGACTAGAGGAGAATGAGATGATCTACATAAATATGGTGGTATGTATATTTGAGTGGACTAAAGGAGACTGAGATGGTCCACATAAGTATGATGAATGGATATACATGGGTTTGTGTATGTTTGGGTTAAAAATACTCCATAAAAATAGATGAGATTGAGAGGGTCATGGGTATTAATTTTTGAGTGGTTTATATGATTGGATTGTATTTTTATAATTCTCTACAACTAGTAAATTTTGTTTCTCATTTGTAGATGTAGGTCAGTTAAGTTGAACCACATAAAATTATTGTCTCTTATGTGATTGATTGATTACTTGATTCTGTTTTTGCTAGTGTGATTAGATTTGGGCTATTTAGTCTAACAAGTGGTACCAAAGCTGTTGTGATCTCTAACAAGTGGTATAAGAGCCATCATGATCCTTATAAGTGATATTAGAACTAAAGGTTCAAGATGTAAAAAGAGACAAACCCAGAGGAACTTGATTCAAAAAAGGAGTTCGAGTTTATATTTTGAAAAAATCGATTTGCATGAAATCATGAAAACACACATAAAATATTATTATGAGACTTTCATTGCAGGTAAAGCCAAGCATATCTAGCACGAAGACTAATGATTTAATAAAATTTGAGTCAAGGTGGAGATTGTTGGGAATAGTGACTTAAATCCTATTAGAAATTTGTTTGGGATTAGTTAGATATTACTTGATGGATAAAAAGACTTGCAGAAGAAGAATTTTAAATGAAAAAAGATTCTTGATAGGCAAGTTTGTATGCTTGCAAATAAGTGAAGTCTTTATAGGGTTAGGTATGAGAAAAAGAAGTAAAAGAGTTATAAAATTTTATGGAATAGACACCCTATAGGACTATTAGAGATTTACATCTTATAGGTGTGTATGTTTGAATATTTGTAAATGGACTAAAAGATATTGAGAGTGTCCACATAGGTATGGTGAATAGGTGCACATGATACATGTTTATTTGGATTGAGAATACTTCATAGGATTAGAAAAAGATTGAGAGGGTCTATAGGTATTAATTGTGAATGATTGTTTTGATGTTTTGATATAATTCTCTGTAATTAATAGATCTTGTTTTTTATCTGTAGATGCAAGTTGGTTATGCCGAATCACATTAAATTTTATCTATTGTGTGATTGATTAATTATTTAATTATGCTTTTACTAGCTTGATTGAATAGAGACTTTTTTGCCTAACAAGTGGTATCAGAGTTATTGTGATCTCTAACAAGTACTATTAGAGTTGTCGTGATCTCTACAAGTAATATTAGAACTGAAAGTTCTAAACATGAGAAGAAGCAAATTCAGATGAGCTCGATTCAAGAGAGGAGTTCAAGTTCATGTTTTGAAGGAATCGGTTTGCATGAAAGCATGAAGACACACGAAAAAGATTGTTACAATACTTTCATTGCAGGTTGAGCCAAGTATGTCTAGTATGAAGACTGATGATTTCATGGAATTTGAGTCAAGGTGGAGATTGTTGGGAATAGTGACTCAAATCCCATAAGAGATTTATTTGAAATTGGTTAGATATTACTTGATAGAAAAATGACTTACAGAAGAAGAATTCTAAGAAAAAAAAATTCTTGATAGGTAAGTTTGTATGCTTATAAATAAATGAAGTCTCTATAGGGTTAGGCATGAGAAAAAGATGTAAAAGAATTGTAGAGTTTTATGGGATAGACACGCCATAGAACTACTGGGGATTTATGTCTTTTGGGTTTGTATATTTGAATGTTTATGAGTTAACTAGATGAGATTAAGAGGGTCCATATAGGTATGGTGAATAGGTGTACATGGGTATATGTTTGTTTGGGTTGAGAATACTTTATAAGACTAGAGGAGATTGAGAAAGTTTATGGATATTAATTGTGAGTGGTTGTTTTGATGTAATTCTCTACAATTAGTGGATATTGTTTCTCATCCGTTGATGTAAGTTTGTTAGGTCGAATCACGTTAAATTGTTGTCTCTTGCGTGATTGATTAATTATTTGATTATACTTCCATTGACTTGATTGGATAGAGGTTTTTATGCCTAACAAGTAATATCAAAGCTGTTGTGATCCCTAACAAGTGTTATCAGAGTCATTGTGATCCCTACAAGTGATATCAGAATTGAAAGTTTGAGAAATAAAAAGAGGCAAACTCACAGGAGCTCGATTCAAGGTAAGAGTTTGAGTTTATGTTTTGAAAGAATTGGTTTGCATGAAAAGCGTGAAGATACACAAAGAAGATTGTTACGATACTTTCATTATAGGTTAAGCCAAACATGTCTAACATGAAGATTGATGATTTGATAAAATTTGAGTTAATATCGAGATTGTTATGAATAGTGACTCAAATCCTATAAGAAATTTATTTGGGATGGGTTACATATTGCTTGATAGGTAAGAAAATTTACAGAAAAAAAATTCTAAAAGGAAAAGGATTCTTGATAGGTAAATTTGTATGCTTATAAATAAGTGAAGTCTCTATAGGATTAGGCATGAAAAAAAATATAAGAGAATTGTAGGATTTTATGAGATAGATACCCTATAGAACTACTAGAGATTTACATCTTATAAGTTTGTATGTTTAAGTATTTGTGAGTTGACTAAAGGAGATTAAAAAGATTTACATAGGAATGGTGAATGGGTGCATATGTGTATATGTTTATTTGGGTTGAAAATATTTTATGGGATAAAAAGAAATTAAGAGGGTTTATAGGTAGTAATTGTGAGTGGTTGTTTTGATGTTTTAATGTAATTCTTTACAATTAGTAGATTTTGTTTTTTATTCATAGATATAGGTTGATTAGGTCGAATCACATTAAATTATTATATCTTGTGTGATTAATTAATTATTTGATTATGTTTACACTAATATGATTGGATTAGAGCTATTTGATATAACAAGTAATTTCAAACTGTTGTGATCCCTAATAATATTAGGGATTGAATCCTTGAGGATTACATATTCCCGTCATAGAAATATTAGAAATTTCCTTTCTATTCTTTGTTGAATTTGTATGCAACAGTTTTAGCAATTATTAATCTTTCGGTGTGCAATGAATGAAATTTTCGCATTAAATTGTTTGGGTGAATTTTAGTTTCCAAAGATTTGTCAACTTGTTTTCTTATGGATAAAGTTTGAGATATTCTTGCTAGTTTTTGAAATAAAATAATTTTAATAATTTTTGAAAAAAGTTAAACAAGATATTATAATTTAACAAGGATTAAATTATATGATTACGTGTCATCTCATTTAATTTACTTTATCATCACTTACATTCTTAATAAATGTTATATAATCAAAATTAACATCATATCATCGAATAATGAAAATATTAACAATTTTAATAATAAAAATTTAATTAAATAAATAATTAAATAAAAATTATGTACTCAAAATAATATAAAAACTATTTTTATATCAATTACGTTGCAGGAACAAAGCTTTAAATTTTGATAAAGTAAAAAGACTGTTAGGTTAACTTGACCAAAATTACTATGCACTCCGTGGGCTGAAAGAGCAATTAAAAATTGATATCCCCATCCCCGAATTTTAAATTATAACACATCTCAGAAAACGAATAAAGCAAAGCGTCAGATGAGATGCTCCGCTTGCAAATTATAGCGGAATAGAACCCTTGGCTCTTCTTTACAGTATTACCATGGAACATGCTCGGTCTCTGTCACCTACTGCTCACTTCTTCGCTTTCATCTGCATGTGAATTTTCTTTCTTCATTGGCCAAAAAAAAAAAAAGTTACTTTCCTCAATCCACAGATTCCAAATCCTTTACACTTGCTGTGTTTCCCTTTTAAATAACGTGGCAATTGTCCTCCAAACTCTCCCTCTACCGTTTCCTATTTAAACCAACATTTATCACTAACCATGGTGAATTTGCAGAAGATCAAGTAACTAAAACCAGCAGCCATGGAACGTCTCAATGGTCCTGCCCGTCTCATGATAGTTTCAGATCTCGATTTTACAATGGTATAGTTTCAGATCTTGATTTTACGGTGCTATTTTTTTAAACCAAAAAAAAAAAAGAAATAAAGAAAAATATAAATTAATCCAGCCATTGAATTCCAAGTGATTTAATCATTCTGTATTAATTTCCAGGTTGATCATGAAGACCCAGAAAACCTTTCTCTTCTTCGGTTCAATGCCCTTTGGGAGGCCTATTATCGCCAGGATTCTTTGCTGGTGTTTTCCACTGGAAGGTCACCTACAATTTATAAACAGCTGAGGAATGAGAAGCCCCTGTTGACCCCAGATATAACTATCATGTCTGTGGGAACTGAGATTGCTTATGGTGAATCAATGGTACCTGATTATGGTTGGGTACAATGTTTGAACCTCAACTGGGACCGTGACATTGTTATTCAGGAAACAGCAAAGTTTCCTCAGCTTATTCCGCAGGCATGTTTTATTACTTTATAGAAAAAAAAAGAGACAATTTGACACTATTTTTTTTTTTTTTGTGGTACCAAGAAGGCAAAGCATGGGGATGGGTTTGCAGCTAATGGTTTTGAACCCAGACGTGCTAGGTGTCATCTCATTAGTTGACTACATAACCAATTGAGCTAAACCCTATTCGATTTGCCACTTTCTTTTTCTTGATCCGTTAAAAATCACCAGTTGTTTCAGTAACTTTTTGAAATAATGTGCAATTCTAGTTTTAAGCTTACTTTGGTTGTTACTTTCACTATATCTTCTTTTGCAAATTAGTTCGCCTATTACAGGAGATTTGAACTGCTTTTCTCAGTTTGGGCATTTTATTATTGGCTGGGTTGTCTTTGAGTTAGTTTTATTTGTATCAGCTTAGATTCTCCCTTTTTTGGGACTCCATGTTTTTGGGTTTTCTTATAAAATTCATTTTGCCTTTCGAAAAACAAATTAGTTGTTCTTTTGCTTTCACAAGTGAAAAGAAAAAAGTGGATTTAGATACAAAAGTGACTGGTTTTTTTGAATAATTAAAATGAAAGGATTTTACTTTTATAATTGATGGTGTGTTGCATTTTAGTCCAATTTCATTTGCTGTTTCAATCAAATATGATTTTGCTTCTCTCTTTAGTTTTCCCTTTTGGTAAATTTTTAAAGTTGTTTCAATAATGGAATGATTTCATTTTAGTCTTAACAATAGAATCCAATTTCTTGTTACTTTTACTACTTGCTCTTTTGCTTCTGAAAGAAAAAAGTGAAAAAGCCAAATGGACAGATTTTTGACTTTTTTGAGCTAACAAAATGTAGGATTGTGGTTTATAAACAGTAAATATATTTGAATGCACATTGTAGAGATTTGGTTATTTTTAATCAACTATAGTTCTTCTTTTTGACTCTTTACTTATTAATTTTTAGAAGTGAAAAACAAAATGCAAAAAGCAAGTAGGAAAAATAACAATCATACAGAGGCTAAGAATTTTACGTTTACTTTGCAGTCAGATACAGAGCAACGACCTCACAAGGTTAGCTTTTTCCTGGAGAAACCTAAGTCATTAGAAGTAATCAAGGCACTTGCAGAACGTTTAGACAAACGCTGGGTGAGATTGTGTGTGTGTGTTTTTTTTTATTCTTTTTTTTTTTTTTCTAAAGAAAGATTCTTTACCATAAGATAAGCAATTTTGCATTAGAAGGAATGTTCAGGAAATAGTTACTATATTTAATGATTTCTCTTAAATGGTTTTGGATCTTAATTTTCTTCTCTTTCAGTTAGATGTTAAAATAATATATAGCAATGGGACAGCTTTAGATGTATTACCAAAAGGTGCTGGTAAAGGACAAGCTCTTGCATATTTGCTGAGAAAGTTTAAAGCTGATGGAAGAATGCCACTTAATTCACTTGTTTGTGGTGACTCTGGAAATGATGCTGAACTATTCACCATTCCTGAAGTATATGGTGTGATGGTATGCAGCTTCAACCTTTTATTGTTTCTTTTTACACTTAAATTACATTTTGTGTAACTTGAAGTTCAATTTGCAGGTTAGCAATGCACAGGAAGAGTTATTACAATGGCATGCAGAAAATGCAAAAAACAATCCTAACATAATCCATGCTAGTGAGAGATGTGCATCTGGAATAATACAAGCCATCAGTAAATTTACTTTAGGTCCAAATGTGTCTCCCAGAGATATTAGAGACTTAAGAAAATGCAGAGTAAATAATTTCAGTCCTGGTCATGAAGTGGTGAAGTTCTATTTATTTTATGAGAGATGGCGACGTGCAGAACTTGAGAAGTCTGATCAGCTTATGCAAAATCTAAAATCAAGCTTTGTATGTCAGTTTTCTCTACCCTTTTAGTGTTTTAAAGTTTCTTTTTCGATACGAGTGGCATTACCCTGGAAATCTCAACCTGGAGAGAACATGTTTTATTTCCTTGGTATTGTCTAGTAAGGATGAGTTGCAACAATCAAACATTAATTTTGTTTTGTAAATGGCACTGCATAGGGAGAAGATGGCTATGCCAATGTTGATGCTTGGCATGTATTGCAGCCTTTGCCTTATAGCAGGATGTGGTCATCCCATTGTATTAAGCCTTCAACTCCATGTGCCTTTGATTTTATAAGAGCTCCTCTTCCCTTTTAGCGTTCTAAAATTTCTTTTTGTTATGAATGACATTGCTCTGGAAATCTCAATCTGGAGAGATCATGTTTTAATTTGTGGGTCTTTTCTAGCAAAGGTGAGCTGCAATAATTATATATTAATTTTGAATCAGGAATGGAACTGCATAGGTAGAAGATGGCTATACCAATGTTGATGCTTTGCATTTACTACAGCCTTTGCCTTATAGCAGGATGTAGTCATTCCATTCTACACAGCCAATAATTCAATGTGCCTTGATTTTATAAGAGCTCCATTTGTTCTGCAAATTCTGAAATTGTATTTTGAAATTCTGAAATCTTTTTTCTTCAGTATCCATTAGGTACTTTTGTCCATCCCTCTGGAACTGAGCAACTGATGATCAACTGCATAGATATGATGCAAAGGTCATATGGGGATAAACAAGGAAAGCAATATTGTGTTTGGCTGGATCGGGTTTCAGCAGCACAGATTGGCTCAGATGCATGGCTGGTGAAGTTTGATAAATGGGAGTCAACTGGTGAGATTTGTTTGATCTTATTTGGTTATGTCTACTTTCTCTTTATAATCTCTGTTTTATCAAAATCTTATTGCTTTCCTTTTAGGCTGCTTTGAACTTGGATTTATCTGTTCTTGTCTTTTCCTTCTATTGTAAAACTCAGTTCTTTCTAGTTGTCAGTTAACTAAATTATGCTCCATAATTTTGACCTAGGACATTCGGGGTAAGCGCAAACCTGTTTGTGGCAATTTTAGCTAATGCACATAGTAAAATGAACCTGGAGGATTTAATTGTATAAGAGAGTTAGAGAATTCGAAGATGGAGAGTACTAGAAATAAAAAATACTGCCACAAGGCTGGTTTTCTTATTTCTTAAGCTAGGTGATAGAAAGAATGTCTCTGTCGAAGTAAAACGGAAGTTAGCACTTAATTTGGTATAATATCAACAGCCCAAATTTGCTGAAAACAAGAATTAAAATGTAGTCATTTACATAAAATTCAATTGAGGTAATGTAAGTAGTAGCCTGAATGTTGTGGTATTGCACCTTTTTTTAAACAGAAAAAAAAGTTTTTTTTCTTCTATTTCATTAGCTTTTTAATTCTAAATAGTTCTTAGAAAATTTTGTAGAAGTGATTGTCCATTTTATTTTCTTCTTATGTTTTAGGAACAATTAATGGCAACAATGGTTCTCTTTTACTTTTGTCATTGGGAAAAGTTGTGGGTGTGCCATTAGGTTGTTAAAAAGCTTGTTCGACTGTGCACTATCATCTTAGTTTTATACATTTGTGAGGAAAGAGTGGTTCTTAGACTGAAGAATGAATGATTTCTTCTTATGATGATTTGAATCTGATAAAAAAAAACTTGGTTGACAAAATTTAGGTTGATTGCAAGCTTGTGTTTCTTTACTCTCAAATAGAGTGGTGTAGGCAGTTTTTTTTTTTTTTTTTGTTGTAGCACTAATAATGTCAAACTAAAAACTTAAGAAACAATCTAAAATTCCAATTAAAAAATTCAACTCGAATCCTGAATCTCAAATCTCAACAGCAAATGCTGCCTCGAGAAGTCAAACAAGAAAGATGTCAATTCAAACAAGAAGGATGTCAATCTTTGGTCACGAAAGAAAATATTTACATCTTGTTTTATGTACTTGATTGAAGTTAATGCCAATTGGGGTCTATTATGAGATTTTAGCCTGTAGGCACTTATGAAAGCTGTGTTTGAATGAATATCATTGATTTTTCCTTTAAGGAAGGTTTTTGATATGTTTACCTACTATTTTAGTTGGGTGAATTACATATTTGATACTGGAATTATAGTGAAATTGTCATTTACTAATTGAAAAAAATTTGTGATTAGGTCCTTCAACTTTCATTCATTTTAGCAGGTTTCACCCTCACTAACTTCGTTAATGATATTTACAAAAAATATCCAATCAAAATATGCCATGTGTCTAAAATAGTCACATCATTTTTTCTTTATTATATGGACTATTTTCTAATGTTAAAATTTTTTGAATTAAAATATTCCAAAAAAGAAAAAACTAAAATTAAAAAATAAACAAAAGAGAGGGATATCGAGAGAGGGAAAAAAGAGGGAAGGGAACATAAAGGAGAAGGGAAGTGGGAGGGAGAGGGGTGGCTGGTGCAAAGCCAAATCAGCATCGGTTGGCCCTTTCCCATCCCAGTCCCCTTCCCTCTCTCCTCGATTCCTTTTTCTCTCAACTCAATTAATTTCTTTATGAATTTTCAGATAAAATTTCTTTTTTTTTTTAATTTTTAATATTTTAGAAAATTTTTTTCAAATTTCGAAAATAAAAATTAAATTAAAAAATGACATGGCTTTTCTAAACATATATTGAATGTGTCTGTTGGTTATATTTGGCCATGTCACACATTTTAGTAACTCTATTAGTCAAATGTGCAAACTGATAGAAGTATAGTTCGAGTATCTAATTTTGATTTTTTTGTTTAGACATCGAATTGACAGTTTCACTATAGATCAGATATACCACATGCATTTAACCCTTTTTAGTTTATGTTAGCATTTTCCTTGCTCTAGTAAGATAGTGCCCTTGTTTTTATGTTTGTGATGATTCTTAACCTACAAAACAAGAAAGTGGCTGAACATTAGATTCTGGAGCTATTATGCTTCTGTGCATTATTATGTGAATTTCTGCTTCCTTTTATCTCTGGATCATTCTTCAGTCACACGAAATAATATTCATCTAATTATGAATATTTAAATTTTATGACCTGTTATCAATTCATTATGTGCACCCTTTCTTTATAAACACTATAACTATTTAATTTTTAATTTTGAGACATTGTAGTTTCTTATGAAATATTTTCTGAATCATTCTTCCAGGTGAAAAGAGACAGTCCTGTCTTACCACTGTCTTGCTTACTACAAAGGTATCCTGCAAATTGGCATATTTTCTTCTCCTCTCCCTTTCAGAAACGCTGTCCTTTTTAGTTATCCTTGTACGATTTTATAGCTACAGGTTTGATAACCATGTTGCCAATGTTTTTGTATTGTGGAGTTTCAGCAAGCTGAAGATGCCTTCACATGGATGCACATACATCAGACATGGTTGAATGGTTTGGAAGCAAAGGACCAAACTACTTGGTATTTCTAGTCAGGGTATGTTTCTTGTACCCATCAGTATTTTTTGATAGGATTAATATGTAATTTGGTTTTTGAACTATACTACTTGTAATGATTTCGTACTTAAAAAAAAAAATTCACAATTAAGTATTCAATTTTGTTTCATCAAGTAATTTGCACCATTGACTAATGTTGATAGTCAAAATGCTCACATGGCAAATTCTGACTAATAATAATGTATCACATATCATGAAATTGACTTTTTTTTTTTTTAGTCACATCATCTTTCTGTTAACAGAATTAGTAAAGGGGGCAATATACTTGACAAAAACAATGTTCAGTATTTAATCATGAATTTTTTTCTGTAAGTACGAAATCATGAAAAATTATATACTTCAGGGGTTAAATCACGCATTAACCCATTCTAATAACACTTTTTCTTCTCATAAGTTATAGGTGTTCATTGTCACTAATCTGTAAACACCATTGATGCTTAAGTATCTATTTACGTAAATGTCATAGGTTGTATTAGAGGGAATGCAGAAAATACACCCGTCCTTTTTTGGATGAGCACTGTATTGAGCTTAACAAAGGCTTTTCTTACTGGGTTAGGTGAGAACCAAGATGCATACTAGGTTAGGTGAGAGCCGAGATGCACATTTATGGTGTAAACTTATGAGAACTTTCATAGTAAGTTCTTTACTTTAATTTCATTGAATAATAACAATTAAATTTTAAAAAATTAATATAAACCATTGATTTTTTATTATAAAAATAATTAATTACTTGTTAACTTTGTTTTAATTAATTATCTTTAATAGATAAGTCTAATATTTTAAAAATACCAAAAAAAATGTCAAGATAAAAAATATTTTAAAAAATTCTAAATAAAAAAAATGTTAATGTAAACCTATGAGAATAATATAAAATTAGTATAATTTTATATAAGAAAGAATAATGATAATTCTAAATATAATGTAAGGTAAGAGCAAATGTCAAAATATATTATTGTAACATTAATAGTTAACAATGTAAAAGAATTGGCATTTTAAAACAAAAAATTAAATAAAAAACATGTTAAGTAGATATTTGAGAATAACCTGAAAACTCATATAATTTGGTGTAAGATAAATTAGAAGTGTTGTAATATTTAAAAAAAGCGTAATGATAATTATAAAGGGTAAAGAGCTATTATAGTCCAAACATTTCATTTGGGCTTCATTTTGAGCTCTAATCTTTAAATTATTTCATAATAGTCCTAAACCTTTTTAAAAGAATATCAATGCGGTTCCTTTACATAAAAATAAGAAGGAATTACAAATAGGGGCAATAAATTTAGAATTATTATTTTTTATAATTATACTAAAGTTTATTTATTAGAAAGGAAATAAAATTTATTAAATCTTTTAGAAGTAAATGAAACTATAATTTTTTTCTTGATTTTAAAAATTCATATTTAAAATCAAGGGTAAAATGGTACTTTAGTTTTCTTTGCAATAGTCTAAGTACCTAATGATTTTTGCTATAATATTCGGAGAAGGATTTATAACATTTATCTAACTGCTTGAAAAAATCAACCATGATTGCTTTTATATACCTAATACATTTTGAAAAACTATCAATCTATAAATCGCCAAAGCAAACATATCTTGCACACGTTCACCATTGGGATACTTCATCCAGGGATTTAAATTACAGTAACAATCACGTTTTAAGTCGCGTTACGTTTATTGCGGTTACGGATATAACGGAGATTTTTGCTGTCATTGTGATTATCACGGTTGTAAATTTTTTTAAAGTTTGCTCAACTTGTTATAAAATATAATAATTTTAATTATTAATCATAAAACCTCTTATTTTATGATTTTAAAAGTAATTTATATCATATCATGTGTTTTATTTATTTAAAAAAAATATTTATAGTAAAATATTCATATTTAAAAAATTATTTATATGATAATTAGAAAATAACAAGAGATAAATAAACATGTGAAAAATAAATAATCATAATGAATGATATATTTAATTATTTAATTGCTATACTCATCAAATTATTATCAAACTATATTATGCATAAATCAAATAATAAGTGATTAGAAATTCATAAATTAAGAGCATTACTATTTATGGACCAAGAGAATTGCTTTTTATGAGCTTACAGTAATCAAACTTGGCAGCCTTCATATTATGGGCAATCTTCAACAACAATAGCCTCAAATCTACTTACTCTACCTCTTGACTAAATTGCACAAACCCACACAACTTCTCATCCCCTCACCTTGCATTCAATAATATTTTCCTCTAAACCTTTATCCTCATCTTCATCTTTCAATTCTCTTTTTTTCTGGTGTTTGCTATCTGCTCGTCTTCGTCAACCTCAAGTCTCATTCTCATCTTTTGTCTCTCATTTTAAGTCCCAGCAACTCTTGCCCCGTTCTACCAATGCATCATAGCCCAATCCAATCCCAAACACACAAAATCACGACAAATTTGGAAATTAAAGAAAAAAAATTTGAGTGCTGAATTAATTGCTTACTTTAAAATGCATATACTTGATCTTGATTGAAGTTGAATTTGAGAGAATTGATATTTTTGAAAGTTTAAGTTTTGTTTTTTTTCCTAAATTTGTAAATTGATGTTTATTTTCTTTCTTGTTGTTTTTATTTTAAGTTTTTAAACAAAATCAAATAAATTTTTTTTTGAATTTTTGAATGAAAACCAAAGTAGAGGGCAATAGCGAACCATTATTGTCGCTATTCATCATTACGTTGCAATTTGCAATCGTAATACATCCGTTATAGATGATATTCAAATTCTCCTCTATTTTTTCTTCAATATTGTTGGCAGATGGTGACGCAACCGTGAAATAGCGGCCGTTATACCACTATCCCACCGCTATTTAAATCTTTGACTTCATCATCTGATTATAGAGGAATGTCTAGGGGATACAATCATTCCCATTTTTCTTTTTTACATGTTTATCAATTTCATCAACCCCTATCCTCATTATCTTTGACAATTTTCTTTCTTTTGTTTTTTGTACTCGATTCTTTTTTTTCCTTCCTATAAATCTTATCTTGATTTAATGACTATATTTAGAGCAAAACTAAATGTTCTTTGGTGGTAGAAGTCATATCTTTTTTATTGAACATGAAACATTGGTATGGTGTGTTCCAGAACTACATCATGGCTCTAATTAAGAGTTCATCTGTCTTTGCTGAAATAAGCAATGCTACATTTCTATTCTTCTTTAAGAAACCTTTCTTTTTCTCTTATCCCTATGGTCTCCAAGTAAACTTTAACTTTGATATGTCATTTTGACTTAGATACATGTAAACTAATTTGGGAAGAGTTGAATTATGCCATTCCTTCCTTCTTTTTGTTGAGTTTTTTTTTTTTTTTTTGGTGATTGATCGTTAACTTCCAAATACATCTTACACACAGATGTCATTGTTGGAGTCATCAGTAGTGAGGTTTGTGTGTAGAATATATTTGGAAGTTAGAGGAACTATCAGAAAAAGCTCTGTAAAAAGGAGACTATTTGAAAGAGGTTTCATTTAGGGTTTACTTTAAGGTTTGGCGTAGGGTTAGGTATAGGGTTTCATCTAGGGTTTGGTTTAGGGTTTAAGGTTTTATCTATGGTTTGGTTTAAGGTTTCACCTACGGTTTCATTTAGGGTTTGGATTTACTACTTGGTTTAAGGTTTGGCCTATGATTAGGTTTAATGTTTGACTTAAGATTTCATTTAGGGTTTGTATCAAGAAAAAAAAATGGAAACCAATGATTCTAGTAGTTTTAGCTAAATTCTCAAACACCTAGACGAAATTTCGAGGCAAACTTTTTTCTAATAGTTCCCATTATTTCTCTAAAATTTCCATTTTTATTAATCTTCTTAAGAAACATTTCAAGATGCAAATGAATATGAGTTCATATACGAGCAATAATAACCATGAATAAGCAAATGATGGATGACATAAATGAAACAAATAAACCAAAAAAAAAAAATGACATAAGGCATATGATGCCAATAACAATAAGTGTATAGGCCACTCAAATAATATAGAGAATTAAGTATTGGGTTATAGTCTTCATAGAGATTGAATTGAGTTAACCTAGGGCTAAGTATCAAAATTAGGCTTCTAAACTATATTCGGTTTGAGAAAAATATTTGTTTTTAACTAAAAGTACTAAATTAACCACAAATTATCAACTGATTAAACATAAGTTACTACAAATTTTGAAAATTAAAAAATTAAACATAACTTACTAAAAATGGAAAGTTATAATAAACCTAAGGCGAGGCTTTAAAATTAAATCTAACAACATGAAATTAAAAGAGAAGATATTAACATATATGAAATATAAATCAAGTAAACATGGAATTAATAATGCAAACCAACCCAAATGAAATGAAAACTAAAGACTAAAGAGTAATAAGTGAAGATGCATAGACACAAGCAATATGAAAGAAGCATGAAAACTAACCTAGATGGAACTAAATTGCCTTTCAGCCCTAAAATATCATGCATATTAAAGTGCATGACAACATAAACTATTAAATGAAAATGTGAGGCTAAATAAACTTGAATTAAAATCAAATTAAACTATATGAATTAGCAACCTAAATAAAGTTTAAAATGAACTAAACATGCATGGACAGGACAACAAATGCAAGAGAACTAAACTAGAATGATCCTAAACTAGCTTGAACCGAATAAAAGTGTAGCATCATAAGCGGAGTCGAATAGATGCGGATAAACATATGAACATTAAACAACATGAATTTAAAAGACAATAAGGAAAAAAGGCAAGGAAATTGATAGAACCAAAAAGTTTGACTTGCAATGTAATTAAATGGCAGGAAAAGTAAAGACATGGAACTAGAAATTTAGCTAAAATCAAACCTGAAAACAGCAAATGAAATCAGCATGCAACCTAGGTATATAACATGGAAGCAAAGGCAGGAACATTTAGGAAACTAGATGAGAATTAACATGAACATTAAGCATACTTACTTGACTTTAAACTAACACTAACAAGGAGCAATTAACACTTAAAATGCTATATTAAAAGCTGAAAACAAACTTAAATAGAAACCATGTAGCCATCAAACATCATAAGGAAACAAGGTTAGTAACATGAATACATGGATTAAGATGCTTGGGAAATTGATGGAACATGTAAAGGAACACCAAATGTAAGAATATAACATCAAAATAAAGTAAATAGCAAATAAAGAAACTAAATAAACAAGTTCAATGAAATGAAATTTAAAGATGAAAGAGAAATTGAATTGGCAACATATTAAAGAACATAAATTCAACAAAAATGTAAAAGTTAGATTCAAGTTCAGGGATGCCTCAGGTGATAATTCAACCTAATGGAAACTCTTAACCATTATCATCAAGGTCAAAATGCCATGGATCAACAAGAACTCAAGCCAATCAAAAGAGCAAACAGAAACAGAATAGCAGAGTAGGTTTCAATTTTCTCTCCGATCACTCATCTTTCATTTGTATTTTTACTACAAACTTTTAGTAGATTATGCTAACAAGTAAATGAACAATATATAAAGAGCTCATGATTAAATAAAATCAAAATCAACTTGAAATTTAATGAAACAATAGTTCAATTTAAAAATTGAAACAAAATTGCTAAAAGAGGATTAACATTGAAAAAAAAGTCTTTTGGATTGCAAA